CGGAATTTCTTCCTGACGTTTCGTCCACAACTGCGGTGGACATTTTCAAAGGCGATGAGGCAGTGGGCGAAGTGATCTCCCGTGCTTTCCGACTAAGAATGATTCAACTGCTGGATTCCCAGTCGTATTTATGCCGCCCAGCCGTGTGTGCTCATGCGTGGGGGATGGGTGGGGGTTCCAACGCTTCGGCGCACATGCTGTTTGGCGCAAAACGCGCTTCCAATCTGGATTGAGTGCCGTAATTTCTTCTTTTCTGTTGAAATTGTTTTGGTGTTTAAATATTTCGATAGCCTCCCTGGTGAGTCTCGGGTAGTATCTTTCAGATTGGTGCAGAATGTCAACTTCGTCGAAGCGTATTTGGTGGCCGTCTAGTAGTGCGTGCTCCGCTACTGCTGATTTTTCCGTTTGTCCCAATCTGCAATTTCGTTTGTGCTCCGTGATCCTAGTGTTTATGCTTCGCTTTGTGGTGCCGATGTATGCTCTTCCTAAACTTGAATCATTCTTAGTCGGAAAGCACGGGAGATCACTTCGCCCACTGCCTCATCGCCTTTGAAAATGTCCACCGCAGTTGTGGACAAACGTCAGGAAGAAATTCCGATAGACCACGGCTTCAAAGCCCGGAAAACATTCCTAAATGTAATCTGACCGGCGGTGAAAGCCTTCATAGTCAGGTATAACATGTTTATGTTCGGTCAAGATAAATAATTAAAATTTACAAAATTAAGATTTTATGGTAGTAGGCATTGATATTTCCATTAATAATTACTTTAAATTATTATTGATCATACATCGAATACTGCAAAAGAACAAGTAACATTTTAGGATTAAAGTAGGTGTTCAAATAAGCCACCGTTTTCTCGCACGCACAACATACATCGTCTCATTACTGCTTCACAGGATTTTCTGATCATTTATGGGGTTGTATCATTTATGTGTATGGGTAATTCTGTTAACAGCTTCTATAACAGCGTGTCTCAGCTCCTCTTCGGTTTCGTATGACTTACAGTATACCACATTTTTGAGGAAACCCCATGCAAAAAAGTCAAGCGGTGTTATGTTAGGGGATCTCGCAGGTCATCTTACTGGTCCCAGGTTGCCTATCCACTTGTTGGGAAATTCGTGATTTAAAAATTCTGTGATAATACGTCCATTATGTGGCGGCGCGCCGTCTTGTTGGAAATACAAGTTTTGCAGGGTAGCTACTGGAACATCCATAAGTGCTTCCGCTACGTTAGTTTGTAAGAGGTTCAAATATCTCTCGGAATTTAAGTCTCATTAAAAAAATAAACCACTGACAAAATGCCATTCTTCTAATCACATCGCCATTCTGGAGTCCCTGGCAGGGCCGTTCACGATTAATCACAAACACTTGACACTGACAATGAATTCTACTTTGACAGTTACCTAGGTAATTAAAACAGACAACGAACGTCACTATGGGGAAATTGAAGAGAAATATCAATGCCTACTACCATACAATCTTGATTTTGTTAATTTTAATTATTTATCTTGACCGAACATAAATATGTTATACATGGTTGAAGAGCATATTTAAAAGGGAATTTAAAAATGCAGACAGTCAATATGGCGCCCTTAAGAAAAACAAAAGTTGACTTCGGCCTCATTGAACATAGTGGGCCTAGATTATTTTTTACTTTATTTTCAAATTCTCGATTGAATTACAGTAGTTTAATTTAAAATAAAGTTGCTGTTAAAGAAACATAAGTTCTAAATTAATCAATGAAATTCTGACTGACTTAATTCGTTTACGACGTACCTATAAGTATAAACTCAAGAACTGCAACCATCATGAAATTACATTCAAATAACACAAATTCGATAGTCAAGTACAAAAGTAACATGTTTCTTTTGGAACCTCATTTTTAAACCTATTACCAAGGTGAAACTGGAACGTTGTTACAGAAAAATAACCGTTTATCACACCTCTAGTGCCATGACATCGATGTCGAATGCTGTCACAGAATTAGATGTCACGGAACCAATGTCACCGTCTGAACGAGCCTTTACAGGCAAATTTCAATCAGTGAAAAGTGATCGAAAACCGTATTTCCACAAGAAACACCGCTAAGAAAAGTTCATAATAAAGGGATTATCTGTAAGGTAAACATTTTATTAATTTTGAACGCGAGGGTTAATAAGCTGAAACCCAATCCTGATTAATCAAGTGAGGTGAAGAAAAGTATATTACAGAATAATTACCTTTCAATTTGTGGAATTCGGCTACAGCCTGTTCTTCACTCATACATTTTTCGTCCAGCACCTCTTCTTCATTGACTAATTCCCGCTCAGGGAATAAAAATGTTGATTCTGAATTTGTTGTCGAGTCTGTCGAGCAATTCAACTTATGTCCTTTCTTCCAATCTAGTGTTTGATGTTCTTTACTGCAGTACATGGCACGTTTACACCTACCGCATTTCTTGTCGGCAGCAATGCCGCACAGATTACACATATTTATCCATTTCGCAACATCAAATGTTGGATCGTCGACTAGTTCTGGAGGATTTGCCGAATAAAATTCATTTTCCCTTGGCAACGTGCTTCGGAAAATTTTGAAACTTGTAATTTGCTGATTTTTGTTGCATGTGACAGTGCGACACAAAAATACAAATATTGTTCGGTGGAAGTTTCTGATAAGTTGTGGTCCAGATTCAATAGGAGCGTATATTTGGCACAGAAACATCATCACTTTGTTGCATGTTTCACATGTTAATTGATCACTGGATGGAACTTGTTTCAAACTCAACCAAGCAGGTTTTCCGCCAACTTTACTAGGAAATAACCTGCTCTGCACTTTCCATGGCTCGCACTTGTCCACAAATCCAAGCACTACTTTAGGCATTTTCATGTACTGTTGAATAATGTTAACTAGAAGTATCTAACGATTTTACTAGCTTTTAACTAATAATATCATATTTAGGTTATGTAGTGATGGGCGGGTCGGCACTGACCCGACTTAGGGATCCGGATCTTGGAAAAGACTCGACGGATCCGGATCTTGAAAGTTAAATAAATTTAATAAAATGAAAAAATAATTTAATTTTTTATTAATTTATTTATTTTTGAAAGTTTACATGCGGGTCATAAATATTGGCAAACCCGGTTGATTCAAACTAATGTTGTGGGTTATGTGGGGTCAAAAGAGCCGTGTTTCGGAATCTCGCATTCGGATCCAGAACCATGTAGAACTTTAACTCCCGAAGGATCTTCTGCATTCAATTCTGGTTAACGTAAGGAAAATATGTCTCATTTTATAATGTGCAGTTTGAAATCCCAGCAAACACACATCGTTCTGCTCTTCTATCCGAAGCCGAACTATAATATTAAAATGTTAATTGCTATTTTTGTCCCTTTTGAGTCTTTCCGGCGCGTGCCTGAGCCAATTTTTAATTTCAATTTCAATATCTTTCCTGGTTGCTATAATAAGCGGATTTTTTACGAAGCCATCTGGAATAAAAAAGATATATTTTATCATTTTTAAATCCACCTAAAAGTGTATTTTACCAATCCCTTGCAAATAAAAAGTGTATAGTCATATATTCTTGTCAGTAATTTATATTAAATTATAACTGTATTGTTAGAAGTAAGTTCTAAAACTGTTATGGTACCTTTTACTTTAGTTTTCTTAGGTTGGTAGTATTGCTTTTAACTTCAATAAAGGTGTAGTAGTAAATCATAACATGTATTAGGTCGTCGGCTTAAAGCTAAAACTGACCAAGTTTAAAATTAATTTTTTGGTAAATGGAGTTTTATACCGACCTGAAAATTATATCAAAATTACCAAAAATATATTTTTTTATTTCGGTTTTATGGCATATACATACTTTTATATTAAGGGTGTAATAAAGTGTATAAGTTTTTTCGAGTGCGCCATTTACTATTACTACATATACGTCCTGTTCATGATGTCCCTGGGAGCAAAAAATATAACGTTTCTGGGACGACTCGCATGAGATCTGCATGAGATATATGTGCAATACAAGGGACGTCCTAGACATTCTACCAAGGATCATTCCATGCCGGATAACGGGGATCAAAATAGAACGTCCCACGGACCATGTGTTTGCTGGGATAAAGACATATAAAGTACTATAGTTTAACGTATAGTTTTCAGTATTAGTAATCATTATGTTTAAACTATTCAATATTTCAATAGATCTTTCTTACAAAGAACAAATTTTTGTTATTTATAATATAGAGCCATTAAAAAAAACTTCAACGCAGCGTAAAACAGTATATGTACAGGGTTATTGATTGAAATTTGGCCACCCCGTTTTTGCATCTAATTTGGAATTTAGAGAAAACTGTTAAATACAAAAGTTCTAGATATTGACATCTAGTTTATTTTAAGATAATACCAATTGATAAAGGGTGTCTCAAATTCAAGTGGCAGACCAAACTTACCTTTTTTTAAATGGAATGCCGCACTTTTTATTGCATATTCGAAATATTTCGAAGTTTCGAAACGTATGCCGTCGGTTCGAAGAACTTTGTATTGGCCACTCCTCAAGGCCTTGTTTTAGATTTTTTTGTCTATCAAGGTGCAAGTACATGGCCTTCCGGCAAATTGGAACCTGAACTAGGGATAGGTGGAAGTGTTGTTATGAAACTTGAACATGTAAAGCCAGGACATACAATTTTCATGGACAGGTATTTTACGTCTTGTGCGTTATTTGAATACTTGGAAGAAAAATGAATTCATGGAGTCGGGACCATTCTAAACTGCAGAGTCCCAGCAAATGTAAAACATAAACTACATTCTGACAAAATTCTTTTGAGAAGAGGTAGATGAGCTTCTCAAGAACTGGTAAGGGAGGACAATTGTATGGCTCTCACGAAATGGATGGCCAATAGGTCCGTTTTAGTTCTATCATCTAGCCAAGGATCGCAACCAGTAGACGTCCAAAGATGGGACAAAAAATAAAATCAATATATCATCATTCTTCGCCCTAATATAATAACTGCTTACAATTACTCAATGGGTGGTGTAGATTTTAACGATCGATTGATTGCGTATTACAGAATTCCCCGAAAAACCAAGAAATGGCCCGTTAGATTTATTTTTCACTGCCTTGACCTTGCAATTGTAAATTCGTGGATCGAGTACCGACTTGACAGAAAATCTCTAGGAGTACCAAACAAAACTATTCAGGATTTACTTGCATTTAAGATTTATATTGGAGAATGTTTGTCTCTCGATGCGGATGCCAAATATTCTAATCAACAGCCAGATGAAAACTACGTTCCACCGAGCACATCTACAAATGGAGTTCAAATGGGTATTTTTAAAAGTGTTCCCCCAAATGAAGTCCGACATTCTTCCAACAAACATTTACCTTTATGTGACGTAAATGACAAGCAAAAATTTATGCGGTGTAGAGTATAAGGGCTGTAAAGGCAAAACTAGGTTTAAGTGCTCTCACTGTGATGTTTTCTTGTGCATTCAGCCTGACCAGCAATGTTTCTTTGAATTCCACAATTAAATTAATTTGTTTTTTACTAGTGTTCAGTATACAGTATATATATAGTTTTACTAGTGCTAGTATGCTGGACAGCCTTTTTGTCCCATACTTAGTGTTATGGATTTTTTTGAGTTACTTTGATACTCAATAAAACTAATAAACTATTTTAAAACAGAATATTAAGTTATGTTTTTTCCTTGGGACCGAAGAGGTTAAAAATAAACAAATTTATTAAAAGTTTGGGGTCATTACAATAAATAACGTATTTCATACTGATTTACCTAAGTGGCGAATCTAGGAGTTTCTTGAGGGGAGGGGCGCAGTAATAAAGAAATATTGATGTTGTCTACCACAACCTTTATTCTGCAGGTTTTTTATTTCACTTAATAACAACAAACACACATATAAACAACAAACAACAATAATAATATTAAAAAAACAACAACAAAGGAAGCCATATTAAATTGCATGTTAAATAATGAAAAGTATATAAAACCGCAAGTTTGACAAGCAGTTCTCAGCCTAATAAAGATATCGGAAACAATCAGAAATCAGTTACATCTACCAAGATGTATTTGCATCTAAACATAGATATATTATATTATATTACAATCAGTGAAGGTCTCAGATAGTAAAAAAACAAGCACCTACTCAGTTCAGCAGCGCCTTCCACACCCAAAACCCAAAACAAAAAATAAAAGGTTTAACCGCCACAGAAATATACAAAGTACGTAGAATAAAACACCCACTAAACTAGTTTTCCGTGTTAATATATAGTTATATAGTAAAAGCAAGCGCAAAAGGTAAAAACAAAATCCCCAAAAACGAAAAAGGAATAAATACCAAAACCGCCACAAAAATATGCAAAGCTATAGGTAGACCTCTGGTGAACGACAAACATCCAAACGCGTACCATAAGACTATCTAAAAACCAACCAACTTACTTACTTCTATTTTTTTGTCTTTTTCTTTTGCAATTACATGTATTCTTTTACACCAAAAGAACAAGCAACATCTAATAATCATTTTAGCACCACTTTACCAGTTTCTTTGTGTTCAGGGCAATGAATTCGATTAAAATCTAACTGTTCAGAAACGATATTATGTAACAAAATAGATAATCTTTGGTGGTGACATAAACGAAGAATTAAATAAAATAATCTACTTATTGACTGATTTGTTATAAAGTGAAAAAATGAACCTGGCTTTGTTAACTGGTTTCTTTAAAATCTGAATCAATATGCGACGAGAAAATTTTTCTACAGCTTCTTCTTCTTCTAGTGGAATCCATTACTGGAGGTTTGCGATCACTATATCAAAATCTTCGCCATTCTGTGCCGCTCGTAGTGATTGTTGAACGTTCATGCCTGTCCAAGTTCTGATGTTACGTAGCTTATATCTTTCCTTCAATTATTAGTTTTAGCAAGTTGTATTTGTCATTTCTCATTATGTGGCCTAAGTTTCTTTTCTTAATCGTTGTTATTAGTTCAAGTTCTCTATTTAGGGTGCTCATGACTGCTTGATTTGTTATGTGTTGTGTCCATGATATTCTGAGCATTCTGCGATAGAGCCACATTTCAAAGGCTTCTAGGCGTCTCATGGTAGTTAATTTTAGTACTCACACTTCAACTCCATATAGAAGAACAGACCAAACGTAGCATTTAATGAATCTGAATCGAATGTCTAAGCCTAGTTTACGATTACAAATAACTTGCGTCCATTTGTTGTACATGTTCCTGGCCTGTTACATCCGAATACCACTTATCATTTAGTACTACTCCTAAGTATCTGAACTTGTTCTAGTTGGGTGTTATTTAGATGAATGTGACAGTTTTCTTCCGTTTTGTTAGTTGACATTACTTTAGTTTTTTGAACATTTACCGTCAGTCCCATTGCCTCACTAGCATTATTAACTCTTACCAATATCTTCTACAGTTTCTCCAATTAGTACGGTATCGTCTGCATATCTAATATGGTTAATATATTTACTGCTTATTTTTATACCAATTTCGATATCCTCTAGTGCTTCTTTGAACATGCATTCAGAGTATAAGTTGAAGAGCAATGGAGACATGACACAGCCCTGTCGTACACCTCTTTGAATGTGGACTTCTTTAGTGGTATTGCCGGAATATTTAAGGTGACCTCTTGGTTCCAATAAAGATTTTGAATTATGCGGAGATCTTTTCCGTCTAACTTCATCTTCTGCAATTCATTCAAAAGTTTTGCATGTTGCACCCTATCAAAAGCCTTTTGATAATCAATGAAGTCTAGATATATTTTTTTCTCGTGATCGACGCATTTCCGAATTAGGGTTTGAGTTGTAAAGAGAGCCTCTCTGGTCCCTAAGGTCTTTCTATACATCTCCTTTCTACAGCTAATACAGCTTATTTTCTTTAACATGTTCTTTGATATAAAACCAGATATATATGTAGATGTACAGCGGGAAATTTTATATTTTTGCCACGTATTAATACATGCCGGTATCGTAATGGCAGAGGGGCCTTCTAA